ACAGTGACATTGTCCTGTGTAAGATCCTGTGTGGATCACCTTCCCACAAACTGTTTGCAGCTCCCAAAATCTGTGGCCTTCCAGGGAAATATCTTCCTGCAGTTTCTGAGTAAATTTGTAGAAGAAGTTTCCTGAAAGTAGAGAAGCTAGGATCAATGCTGCATTCCTCATTTTTTTAAACAGTTGAAGGTGATATACCAAGTGCACAAATTTTATAGAAGAATTATTATTTGGACGAAATAGTTCTAAGTAAAGGCAGAGCTGCCACAGTGTAAGATATCAATTACCAGGTCCCACTGCAAATACGGAGGTGTTGATTTCTATCTTTTTTTTAATGGTGAATGTAGAAGATAAAGTAAATGAATGAATAACTGGCTGTCACTCATAGAAACTAACTGAAATCCGATAAATGCTGTTGAAATGTGTATTGTACAGGTACTGCATGTTGACACTAAGTGAAGAGTTGTTTTGGATCTCTGTTTCAGGTTATTTTCTGACTCAGAAAGAGTAAAGAATCTTTTTACATTCAATTAACCTAGAAATGTTGTTTGCATGGTTACAAAAAAGAGAAGAAAAAGTAATGCTAAAGACTCAACAATTTAAATCTACATAGCTCCCCTGACTTTCGAGATGCTTCAATAATTGAGAAAAGTGGGAAATATAGGTTCTTTAGCTCTTCTTTGTCAATGAATTTCTGCATCCTGAATTGAAGGAAAACAATGTATTTTGAAGCATCTGCTTTATTATCACCATTAAATCTGCCCCCCCTCCTTTTAGTTATTGTATTTTCGTTTATGATGTCTCTAAATCTGTAGTAGTAGCTGGCATTTTTAAGACATTAAGTTTTTCTCCTGTTATTTAAAATTAAGAAGATCACAAAGGTAAATCCAAAGTGATGTCTAAAAGCAGTTCTAGTCACACTGATATCATGAGTAACTGGCCTTTTGCAAAACCTGAATGATCTTATCATAGTACAGCCAATTCCTGTTCTAAGTGTCCTGGTATATTTTACCATTATTAGGATATTATGGAAGAGTAAACAAAAGTGAGATAGATTTTTTACTATAAAATCAAAGAAAACAAAATATATTCTCTTTAAAAGTTTTGAGTTATTCTGTTTCTTTCTTCTTTTTTTTTTTTTCTCCCGCTGAATGACTTCATTTTATTTTTGTGTCTGAATTTTGAGTTGTTATGATATATGTAGGAACCTACTGGTCAAACAAAAGGGAAAGGAACAAATACATAGACAGTTGAAACCAGGGCAGCTGACCTGGGAAGATGAAGTATGACTGTGTTGGGATGAGGTGAGGAAGGCCAAGGCGAAGCTGGAACTGAAGCTGGCAAGGGATGCAAAGAATAACCAGAATGGTCTCTGCAGCTACGTTAATGAGAAAAGGAAGATCAAAGAAGATGTATGCGACCTCCTTCATAAACAATGGATAAGGAGAGGGCTGAGGTACTCAACAACTTTTTGCCTCAGTCTTCCATGGCAACCTCTCTTCGCACACCTTTTGAGTGGATGGACAGCAGGATGGGGACTAGGAGAGCAAAGTCACTATAATAAGTGAAGATCAGGTTCATGACTACCTGAGGAACCTTAATGTACATAAGTCTATGGGATCTGATGAGATGCATCCCAGAGTCCTGAGTGAACTGGCTGATGTAGTTGCCAAGCCTCTCTATAATCTTTGAAAAGTCATGGCTCTGAGGTTAAGTCCAAGGTAAGTGAAGAAGGGGAAATATTATACCCTTCAAAAAGGGTAGAAAGGAGGACTCTGGGAAATACTGACCTGTCAGCCTCACCTCTGGCTTCCAACTCTGTCCATTCCATGATTTTATTATTTTAATTATAATGCATAGGGTTTTGTTATTGTTTCATGTCTGTTTTATGCTTCTTCTCTTGTGTTGGCTAAAAATTTTGGAACAGAACTAGTACAAGATATTGTTAAAGGGGATAATTTTTCTCTCAAATTTTTCTTTTCATGACTGAGTACAATTTTTGCAGTGAATTTTTTTGACCAGAGGGGTAACATTATTTAGTTACAAAGCCACTGCATTTTTTTTAGGGCAAGAATTCTAATCTGATGTACTGTGAAAGATTCCTAGAATTCTAAGAAAAGGCTGTACCTGAAAGTACCAAAAATGACTATTTTCCTCATTTTATCTAAATATCTATTGAAAAAAGAACTGAAATCTACTAAGCCTTCAAGTTTTTATGAAATTTGATAAGGAAAGCATCCTTTCATAGCATTTTATTGCCTTGGGTATTTCTTCTAGTATTACAAGAAAATTATTAGCATTATTCTATATTGGTTTGGATGCAGAAGGAATTTCAGACATTTAAAAACATGTATTACAGTTTACTCAGTTGTAACAAAGAATTCAGATTCTAAGAGAACAAAGTATATTATTATCTAATCTTAATCTAAAAAAAGAAAATATCTATTGGGTTTTTGGTTTTTTTTCTTCAGTTGGTTGGTTGATTTTTATGCTTTTCCTGACATTATTCCTGTAAATGATAATCATGGTGGGATAAGAGATTGCACTTTTGTAACTGCTATCAACCAGGACAGGCTACAGCTATGATGAAGGAGAGAGGTTGTGTGGTCTTCCTCATTTGGCAGTATGGGTAGAAGTACTGGGACACGCAGGACTGCAGGTAACTTTTTCAGTTACACGTGCCTTTTTAGGTAACATTTCCAGGTTTCTACATTCATATTTTGTTAAACATTGAGCAGACTGTAGCAAGTGACAATGTGACTTGCATTTTGTACCCATGCAAAGAAAGGGGAAGAAATAAGAATTCTTGTTGTGCCCCTGGGACTAGGGTTGGGGTGAGCTGCCATAAATAACTGCTTATTTTTCCTCCCTTGGTGTGCAGGAATAGGAATTGGAAGATAGGCAGATCAATACACTAAATAGGGCAGCTTAGTCAGGCAGGAAATATTGATATTTACTGTTCATTTGAGCCTACAATAAATGACCATCCCTTTCCTCAAAGCCTGAAAAAATAGGGAGTACCTCATGCTGTGGAGGTGTGCTGTCTCTTGGGATTTCTGCAGAAAGGAGTAGTTTATGCAGTCTTAAAGGTTAGAGTCTCCTGAAATGTTCTGCCTATGTTCAGTATCTCTGTCCTCTGGACAACTGGAAGGATTAGCCTGGAGGCACTCTTTTGATGGAAGTCTCTTTCTTGAAAAGGGTTTAAAGTAATTTAGAGAGTGAGAATTTCCTCACCCTCTCAGCATGGGTCAGGACTTAAGTATTTCCTTAGTGAGGTGCTCCTCTGTGTAAAGCAACTTCTTGCAGTGCTCATTTCTTGGAGTGAGGAATGGCAGACCTGACCAGGGAAAGCTGGAGGCATGGCTGGAACGGGCAATAATCTCAGAAAAAAAAAAAGGAACACCAGATATCATACATCTGGAAACATTTTTTTTCCAGCACAAGAACATAGAAAATTGCTTAAGAGATTAGGGAATTTAGACACCTTTGGATCTGGGCAGGGTGCTGGATAAGGGAGTTATAAGTTTGAGTATAAGTGTGGTTAAATGTGCAAAAGCCCCACTCTGGATTTTATTTTGGCAGCTAACCTTTGAAAGATTGGTTTTCTTGTCTGGAGAAAGAGAAGCAGGTAAATTTCTACTTCCTATTAGAAGGAATTAGCAATTGCCCCTAAAAATAAGCATTAATTATTTCAGTTGTTTTGACTGTATTCACAAACATTTTTGTGCAGTTAATGAAAGCATGTGAAAGGAATACTGAAAGTGCATGGACATATAAGTAGCAGCAACAGATATATTTTAAATATCTAGGCCTTTGGAGGCTTATGTGGCCAAACTTTCCCTACTTTTAGAGGCTAACCCTTAATTTCTGTGAATGTTACAGTAAATAAAATCCTACTCCCATGAAGTCAGTGGGAGTTTAGCCACCAAATTTAGCAGGAAAAGGACTGAGCTGTGTAACTGTTATTTAATGCCACTGCCTATAGGAAAACTGAATACATTTATTTTGCTTGGGAACAACATTATATAATAATTCCACAAAATTATGAGGTTGTCTGACTGGTAGGACATATAATTCTTGGAGGGAAAAGTTGGTCCAACAGATGTCACTTGCAATATATTACAATGGAAATGTTAATTCCAGTTAATATTAAAAGAAACTGTCTGAAATAATTTAAGATGCAAAGAATAGCATTTAATGGAAGGAACTTAAACATAACATATGTCAAAAATTGTATGTAAAAATATTGATTTGCCAGGGAGTTGTTCACACTAGGTTAAATCATGCCATGGGTAATGCCCAAAATGAAGACTATGGTGAAAGGTACCCAAAACACTGAGCCTTGGTGGAGAGCTTGTCCTCACTGCACACAGTAGGAGCACAAAGTAATTTGTGACACATAAATTCTGTAGTGAAGCATCCTTTCCTCTCACAATGCATAGGCTTTCATTCCTTTCACCAGTGTGTGATGGTGGTGGAGTAGAGTCTACCAGTTCTTCACTGGGTCTTACCCTGGCTGGTCCAGAGGGATACCCTGCTTCCATTCTGGAACAGCCTTTGTGACCTCCACCAAACACCTGAAGGTTTCTTTACCTCTCCTACTCTCCAATATAAATGCAAGCATGTCACTTAGAGTAAGATTTTACCTTGAATATATCCTCAAGGGAAGTACACATCTTTATGCACAGTGTGTAAGAATAATTCCCGAAGAGTAATCTGAGACCAGTCAAAAATGTGCATGAAACAAGTACTCGTTTTAAAGCAGTACAAGACACATCTTTGACTAAAGTTGAAATAACTTATTTAAAACTGGACAACTTTGCAGTGGTACAATTGTAAAATTTCTCTTTGTGTCCAGAGATAAGTATCTGACTGAAAGCTATCAAAATTTCTAGTTCTCAATCACAGATATAATAATGCCATGCTTAGCTGTGTGATGAAAATTGCTGTTGGAAGTCTGATAGATCTCATTAGATGTTATCCAGGGTAAAAAACTTGACCAGTTGACTTCTTTCTAACATGGTGCATTCATATTTAGATGTGGTATATCCAGAATAGCATTTGTACTATATTCTTTCACATGCTGAGAAATAAAAGTACAGCCTTCTCAAATTCTCTTTATCTTCCGATAGCTTTATGTTCAAAACAGACCAGATTGCTACAAACATCTGAGCCTCTCCTCTCTTTCTTCTTTCTGTCTGTGTTTCAGACACAAGGCAAATTTTCCACCAAGGCGTAACGTTGCTGTGAATGGGCTGACCTGGGTGCAGGGCAGGAATGGGACTTCTTGGACCCAGGGAGCTCCTGATAGGAGAGAGAAGTTAAGGATTATAGCTCACCCTGTCTATAATGAGGCTCCATATCAGTGGATCAATGCTGTTTATCGTTAAAACAGTGTGGATGTTTGGTTGGGGTTCTGACAGAAGATGGAACCCTACATGCCACCCTTTTATGAAACTGCTGTACATGTACCTATGAAACATCCTATTTATAAAATACATTGGGGAAGACATGCAGTGCAGGTAGCTCAGTGTGGAAACTGCAGTGCCACATTGAGCTCTGCTTGGGACCTTTTGCATAACAAAGGGCACAGGGACCTGTGGCACCAGCCAGGTGGCTGGACAATTACAGACACAGCAGGAGCTGATGATGCCCAGCATGGTGTAGCTTTGAAAGGGCTTCTGTCCCAACTCAGGTGCTGTGAGTGTGACTGTCATGGTGGTTCCTGGATGATCAGACAGGGAAGTTACCTTAACATATACCTCCTCTGGTGATCTTAAAGGGCTTTACTCAGCTAAGGACTAAGAGAGATGCATGTGAAGTGACTGGTGCCTAAAGAAGGGGCCATAAGGCAAATATTGATCAGTCTTGTCTTCCTTGCCAACACTTGAGGATGGTTGCCATCACACAGTCGGTGTTTACTGTGGCTGTAGGGGGGATCCTAGACAAATCCAACCTTGCACAGACTTCTGACCTGCTATTGCTGATAGCTGTTCAGTCGGGACTATCTAGAAAGCAGGAGGCCTTAAAGAATTTTTTACTTCCAGGGTGTTCACCTTCTATCCTTTGAGGCCAGGAAGGCTTATCTTCAGTATCCAGCAGCACTGGCAGGAAAAAATGAATACTTGTGTTCACATATGAATACTTTCATTTGCACATGAATATCAGTGTCACTGTGAGGAACAGCACCTCCACAATACCTATGATAACCAAAATCTTGCATGAATAATGGCAGAGAGATGATCATGCCAAACTGAAACACAAGAAAGAACATACGGAAGCATTTGTGAGTAAAATGCTTCTTTCCTTATATAGTCCAGCTGCACAGCATTTTCTGTCATGAGTTTACTATTTATAAAGCCTTGTAGGAAATTCCAGTTTGTGTTATACTGACTCCTACGTAGTCTGAGTAATAATTTATAACAACATAGAGACAGACTGTATTTTAAGAAAGAGGCAAAGAGCCAGAGTAAAGGTTGAGCCTACAGCCTGACTTCTGCATTTCATGACATTTGAGAACTTGATTTATCAAGCTTAATGTTACATTAACATAAGCACATAATTTCCTAGGAACTTCACATCAAATTTAAGGAAAAAAAAAGAAAAAGAAACAAAGAAGGTCTGAGTGTAAAATCACTGTAAATTCTTTCCTCTGTATCTTGCACTGTTTTCAGAAAGAAATCCAGATTGTGCTTTGTAGCTTTATTGTCCTATGAGCTTGGAAGGAAGACAAGCACTCTGTTCAGCAAAAGGCACTTGTTGCTCGGAAGAGTATAATACTTTTCTCTTCAATGGACTGGGACATCTGCAAGGGATGAAAAAAAGAGCAATCTCTGGTTGCTATCCATGCTCCAACCAGTTAACCAGAGGAGGTGAACAGACACCTTGAAGCAAGGACTCTGGATATAGTGTGTGGCAGGCTTCCATGTATGAATGTGTATGTGAACTTCCTCAGTCACACTGGTCAGAGAGACTTGCTCTTAACTGTGATGATAACTCTTTGTATATTAGTTACTGTTACAGCTACTGTGGTTTCTAACATGGGGTCAAAGTTTACATTCAAAACATAGATTCATGGGTGTTGTAATCCTTTATGATTTTGCTTTGATTTTATCACATTCTTCCTTCAGGAATAAAACAAAATCACAAAACACAACAACAAAATCATATTAAAAATCCATGTTTCATTCTGATATTTCCTAGATTTTACTTGCTCTGTTCAAATGACCTTTTTGTTTTGAGGTTTACTTTGACGGTATTTAAAAATAATAATAATGTTTAAAAGTCAGTTAAATATCAGACTGACATAGTTTCCTCCACAATTAATGAATCATGGAAGCATGTAGCTAATCTTCGGGGCTACTGATTTTCCTTTAGAAGAAACTGAATGTTTTAGTCCCTGAGATAAATGGGATTGCAGGAGGTTAAACACCCCACAGGAGGCTCCATGTTCAGTTCAGATTTCAGCTAGTAAAGCTCAAGCAGAAAAAACCTTGCCAACTTTTGTGAGAGATTAATCCACTTATCTCCTAGTTACTTCACAGCAATTTCTTGCCTACTTCCTATTGATTCACTGTGTGCTTGAATTTTTCACTCTGCTTTCCTGTAGATGTGTACCTGGTGTTTGAATGCTCTCAAGAAAGGAAGTCATAAACTTCTGGTAGGTACTCTGGTCTCTGACTACAGACTTTTCAAGGTAAATGTCTACTTTACATTTGTTTTATAAAATGTAGCTTATAATTAGCATACTTTTTTATATTCTGGACTTCTTAATAATGGTTCAGAGTGGAACTTCATCATAGTTTAGGCTAGATACATTCTTATAACCCAGCAAATATAAAAGGACAAAGATATCTATTTCATCATTTATGCATTTCATCCCCATTTTTCTTTCAAATTTTTTTTTTGCCATTCAGCACCAACTCCTCTAGTACTAGACACTTATTATAAATGTGACATGCTCTGCCAGTTACAAGAAAAACCCTCTACAAATCCAGCCAAACTCAGTAGTGGTAAATTGCTGAGGCCAGCTAGGCAGCACTGCTGTCTGAGACAAGCTGAGGTAGTCAAGAAGTTCTGTTGCAGTTCTTCTGTTTTGGAAATGGCTGTTTTTACTTGACATCTGCACAACCTCAGGCCAAAGTGGCCAAAGTAAATATGCTACTATGAGCTAAAAAACCTGATTAGCTCCATGTCCAATTTGCCACAGTCAAGGTTGAGCCCCAGTGTGGGCAGAAGAGGCCACTTACTGGCAAGAACTGGTTTAGTTTTAGTGAGATAGCATTGATTAACCTACCAATGCTGCTGGAGATTGATTTATCTCCAAAATGAAGCTAACTTTTAATTTGTACAAATTTTCATTCTCTTCCGGTAGATTTTGTGCAAGTGTGTCAGGGATCTTTAAAATGCCAGAGGTCCAGTGTTGCAATTACGCGTTCTGTAATATTTCTACATTCACTCTACATCCTTTAGTAATTGCTTCCTGAATTTCTGCCAGCATTACCCAAAATGTTTCTCACCTTGTCCACATTGACTATGCAAAATTTTCCAAAATGCTGCACTAATTCTGGTCAAATATTAAATAATTTTCTTACCTTCTATTGAGGAAGAAACAGGCAGTTTCTCACATAAGCCAAATTCTCAATGATACATTTAAGCAGAGACAATGGACGTTATTACTATTTTATAGAGGAGATAAATAGCTTAATTTTGTAACCAACCACACAGTGTTATTCTTCCATTTGATATATCATCCTTTCAGCTGCTTCCCTATCTGTAACCTCTTTACCTACTGCCTTTTGCTTTACCAGGTTGAGAAAAGATTGCAACAGCTTCAGCAGAACATCAGCTGGCCCTCATTTCTGCTTTTACTTAGCACTGCTATATGGTCTTTTTGAGGTGTGTCTTAAAGGCTGCCAGAGGAATGGATGCAGGGTACAGAAATACAGTTCTCAGTGCTGCAGGCACTGTGTCTGGAATAATTGAGGGGTTAGAAATTATAGATCTTTTACTTCACCTTAGCAGGCTTGGGTTAGTATGCAAATAAACTTGTCTATCCCATAAACAAAAAGCTGAAGTCCATATTGTGTTATCACAAAATTCTTTTCAGGAACTGAGGCAAAAAGATTTTGGTAGAATGGTTCCAAGGAATGCAAAGCAAGTGTAAAGGGCTGGATTTACTAATTTATTAAGTCTATATAGTTATTTTAGAATTTGCCTGTTTTCTGCTGTAGCAGGTTGCTCCCTTTTAGATTAGCTATCAGATATTCTGCTCTGTGTTAACCTGTATTTTCACATCTATTTTATAACAAATAGGACAGAAACTTCCTTTCTGGAAACAGAACTAAAATTCAGCATCATGGAAGCACAAAAGGCAATGACATTATCAAGGGATTCCTATGAACTTTTGCAACTCATTTTGGGATGCGTGGCACCTCCAAGTGACCCTCTCTTAATATAGCTTGTAGGAAATTATGACCTTCTTAAACTTCCTCTACCCTTGCATGCAGAAAAGCTATTAACTTGTACAGAAAGCAAGTATTTATATCCATAGTTGAGGATTTTAATACAGGCCTGTTATTTCAGAGGTGAATTAAACTACTTGATTTTGAACAGAAAGCAGGACTATTATGTAACACTTATTAGCCTTCAAATTAGTATTGGAAAGAGGAATTCATGAGAGTTATCCCCCTTTTCTTTGCTCTGGCTTATTCTAACATTGATGTCTCTGGAATTAGCTGTAAGTATGTCCTTGGCAGCTATGTAAACAAAGCTTGCTCCTGCAACCTAAATCGTATGAGTTGCTGAGTGCTGCTGGAAAGAGGCAGAGCACCTTCTGCTGCCGTTGTCTTCAGCACAAATTGACAATGACACATCACACCTTGTGTAGCCCACTGGGTTGCAGGGTTGGGTTTATAATGAATTCACAGGGTTTTTTCCATGCCTTGTTCCAGACCATCAATAAGAAAAATATACTAAAATTTGGTAAGAGGAAAAAAAAGTGATAACAATACTACAGGTTAAATTCTGAGCTTGTGTGAATAAGCACGGCACAACTGATTCCAGTGATGCCGTATCAATCTACCCCTGCTGAGGTTCTGCTTTAAAAATTTTAATGGCTATCAGTTCAGAAGAAATACTTCAGATATATTGCTAAATAATGGTTTAGGCGCCACAGCAAGAAACAATATCATGCCACTTATTATTCCATTTTAAAACAATATAAGCCATGTGTGAGAAATTAAATCTGTCACCCTGTGAAAGAGTTCAGGCTGTCAAAATGGTAATAGAAATGAAATTTAATTACCTATTTTCTATGTTACCCATAGTAATTCCCCAGAAAATATTAAAGGAAATTGAAGAGGAGATTATCTTGTAAAGTGTTTTTATAATATAATTATTATTTTAATTGCTTTAAGAAAAATCTGTACATTCAGAAAGCCAGATGAAAGTTATAAGAATTGCAGCTGTTTGTCAGGCTAAGATTAGCTGCCACTGACCATGACCATCATGCTGTAATGGCAGCCACAAGCTCACTTCTATAGATTTTCCTCACGCTTGGGCTGGCAATAGTCTGGGAGGGATGAGACTCATGTTGAGTTTTCTGTATCTCTAGAAGAAGGAAGCCATCAAGGAAGTACCTGTAAGCCCTTTCTCTCTGTACAGACCCATATGTCTCTGCATTTTTTCCTTGCTGGACCTGATCCAGCTCCACCCTAAGTGTCAGGGTCCCTTGAGTGGCAAACCCTCATTGAAGGTCCAGTGGCCCCTGGATTAGGAAGGAACTGGCCTTCATTTTCCTGTGTGACTTTGTCCTAGTTAGGACAGCTGAGACCAGTTCATCATGGTATGGGTGTAACCCAAAACTGTGTA